GCATCATAACAAACTATTACCCCAAAACCCCAAAACCCCAAAACCCCACGATTAAGCAAATCTAGCATATAATGATTGGGAATTTGATTTAAATTAGTAATTATTAACATTAAGTAGAGCTATCGTCTTTTGGAGTAATAGTTTGTTATCATGCAGGAAGTTGAATTTGCAAAGTCTTCGCAGCTTTTCTTTACTGTTCAATATCATCATCTAATACAATAGCATCAATTCTTGATTGCTAAAGAGCCCCAACAGTCTTTTTGCTGATTTCTTTAAATATTTCTTCAATAGTGGCTGTAAGATAGTTTTCATACTTAGAGAATATGTATGAAATTGTGTATGCACAAGGATAGCATTCTTCTTTATTTTTTACTTCTTAAACAGCCTCACTATCTACTTCTTAATCATCACTTCCTTCAGCTCCAATATTTTCTGCTAATTAAGCTGCTAATGCAGCATTACACATTTATTGCATTTTAATTGCACCCTCTTCACAGGCTTTGTCTTTTTATGTTTGCCCCCAAAGTGTCAAATTTAGGTTACCGACTATAGATTTGGAGCAATATTTGGTTGGATCTTCAAAGAATTTGGAGTCTACACATCGTTCAAAGATCTTCTCCTCCATTGAGTTAAGGTACATGTGATAATTTAACACATAAGCATAAATGCCGATTTCCAAGTTAGAAGTGATATTTCTTAATTTGAGTTACTGGAAAAGCTCTTTGAATCCTTGACACATATCACCATATGTAATTATTTCTGAAGGAATGATGGGGTCATACCATACATTCTAAGCATGCCCTAAAGTTTCAATGCAATCAGTATCAAAGTCAGTTTTATCATTATTAGCTGTAGTCATCATTCTATTTACCAATATGAGTTTATTGTCGACAGTAATTGACAAATTTTCACAAAAGTCATTAGCAAAAGTAGTTAGTGGGTTAACACCATTCTCAGATTAGTTATTTAAAAAGTTATTTTGTTACAATGATCTCAAAACTGTAACCATCGAAAACAAGCTTGAATAAGCGCAAACAGTGGGCCTAAGAGCATCTATTAGGATTGATTATTTGAGTTATATTTACTTTCAAGATTTTAAATCTGAGGGTAGCAGACATCAATGGTCAATTCTTAAAGCACAGTTGCTGGTGAGGTAACAAGTTTCTAAAGATCCATAGCCTTCATGAAATCATCAGCGCAGTTTGGTGTTTTAGCACTAATGATTCCTAGAAACCATACCAATGCTAAAAATAGAGATTTCTTGATTTAGAAGATGCTAAATTTTGATTTAGTCATGTTGTTTATTACTTTAAATTAAAGTATAATTTCTTAATTAATTTCAATAATTTAAGAATTTTAAAAATGATGTTCACTACTCAGCAAATCTTGGGAGGACCAAAGTACTCTCACAAGACAAGAATTGGAAACTGGCAAGAAGATATGGAGCTTGAGGAGATCAAGTGAGTTTACTCTTATATCAACTAATTTTTCCTATAGGAGAATAGACTATGACCAAAAGAAAAACAACTAACAGTTAAATTTCAACAAGACTTTGTCAACTGCATAACAGTAAATCAAGAAAGTTCCCTGGTCATACTCAGGAGATGGTCTTCTCAGATACGGGTTTTCAGTTCTTGTCACAAATAAGAAGACTCAAGGCTATCTCGTTGCAGATATTGGAAATAAAACTGCTAATTTGGAAGAGTCATATACAGCCACTACTACAGCCAATCATCCAGGTCCAGTTACAAGATCAATTTTTGTGATTAAAAAGGCAGAGAAGGTTGATATCTTCGGAAATGATGATATTGTGAGATATGGACAGAAGGTCAAGATTGAGGTTAATCCATATTTATTCAGGAAGACTCTCTACCTGAACAGTCAACCTCTTGGTCCAAGCACTTAATCCCCAGTTACTAGAAATTAAGAGGCTAGTTTCTCTCCAACTGAATCATACAGTGGCACTTGGGTGATTGACTACCTTGACCCTAACTTCAGATTTGAGAAGCAAGGAGAGCCAGTCGAAGCTAATACTCCAATCTTGATCAGACACTGCTCTACTTCTCATTATCTTGCAGCTGATCTAAATAAATTGAAGAATGACTTTGGAACTGAGTTTGAGGTCTGTGTGAATAGTTTCGCCACTAAAAACCGTTCTTAAAATCTTGCACTTGAAAAAGAGGGTAAAATTACTGGAGATATCCCCTCTAAATTCTAAGAGGATCAAAACGTTTTCTACTTTGTGACAGCACCATCCCCTGCTTACTCAGTGCCAATAGAAGAACTAAATAAATTCACTATTGAGGATTTAATTAGAGAAATAAAGTAAAAAATTGTTGAAAGAAGTGCCAATGGCATCAGGGGTATTGCTAGAATATTCAAGGCTATGGACGAAAATGGAAGCAAAACCTTAGATGTTGATGATTTCAGATGGGGTCTTAAGGATTACGGTATTACAATTTCAAAAGAAGAAGCATAATAAGTCATGGAGCATTTCGATAGAGATGGAAACGGCTAAGTTGACTTCAATGAATTCCTAAGAGCAATGAAGGTAAATAATTATACTTATTAACGTATTCTAATAGGGAGACCTGAATACATTCAGAAAGAGATATATCAAGATGGCTTACGATAAGCTAGATATCAATAAAGATGGTCTCGTTAAGTTGGACGATATCTCCAAGATCTATGATGCATCCAGACATCCAGATGTTCTCTAAGGCAAAAAGACCCCAGATCAAGTATTTGTAGAGTTTATGAAACTTTGGGACACCTAAGAAAAAGATGGCATTGTGACATTTGATGAATTCTGTGACTACTATAGTGATGTTAGCGCTTCAATCGACTCTGATGACTACTTTGCTGAAATGATGATTAGTGCCTGGAAACTTAAATGAGAGCTAAAATCTATATAATGAACAGCGTGATCATGAATTCATAGATTATAAAATATTTTCAATTATTTAAGTTCAATTTCATGTTTCATTATTAGGAGCTGGGGGTTTTGGGGTTTTGGGGTTTTGGGG